GTGTCCTCATGTCCCCACATATCCCCGTGTGTTCCTGTGTTCTCGTGTCCCCACATTTCCCCATATGTCCCCATGTCCCTCCATGTTCCTTGTGTCCCCATATGTCCCATGTCCCCTGTGTCTCTGCATGCTCCCAATGTCCATATCCCTCGTGTCCCCCTGTGCCCAGGTGGAACCGTGTGATCGTGGAGAAGCCGTTTGGGCGGGACCTGGGCTCGTCGGAGGAGCTGTCGGCGCACCTGAGCGCGCTGTTCCGCGAGGAGCAGATCTACCGCATGGACCACTACCTGGGCAAGGAGATGGTGCAGAGCCTCATGGTGCTGCGGTGCGCCGGGGACACGGGAGGGCACGGGGGACACAGGAGGGGACGCGGGGACACGCGCAGGGCTCCTCACCCGCCCCTCACCCACCCCAGGTTCGGCAACCGCATCTTTGGGCCCATCTGGAACCGCGACAACGTCGCCTGCGTGGTGCTCACCTTCAAGGAGCCCTTTGGCACCGAGGGCCGCGGTGGCTACTTCGATGACTTCGGCATCATCCGGTGAGAATGGAAGTCCCCTGGTGTCCCCGTGTCCCCTCGCCGTTCCCCCCGTGTCCCCCGACCCCGTGGCAGCGCCGGCTCCCCGCAGGGACGTGATGCAGAACCACCTTCTGCAGCTGCTCTGCCTCGTGGCCATGGAGAAGCCGGCGTCCACCAACCCTGACGACGTCCGCGACGAGAAGGTGGGGACAGCAGGGACACCGGGGTGTCACCAAGGTGTCACCACCTGCTGGCACTGCACTGGTCACTGAGCTTTGTGTCCCCGATGGTCACAGCCACAGGGACCATCCCCAGGTGGCCCCAGGGTTGTGTCCCCCAAGGGCCACGTCCCTCCACCCCTGTCCTGTTCCACCACCATGTTCTCTACGGTGGCCTCCAAAGCCACGTCCCCATGGCCACGTTCTCACTGATCATGTCCCCAACCGTGTCCTATCATCCTGTGATCCATGGTGGACCCTCATGGCCCTCCTAACTCCTGTGGCCACATCCCAAACCACATCCTATCAGCACCTTCTCACTGATGACTCCCCAAAACCACATCCCCCACAGCCCATTGCCTGTTCTTACTGGTGGCCCTCCATAACCACGTCCCCAACCAATCCCACCCCGTGGTCTCACCAGAGCCCCCACAATCAGGTGTCCCTCACCTGTCCCTTCCCTGTCCCCCAGGTGAAGGTGCTCAAGTGCATCAGCCCGGTGGAGCTGCAGGACGTGGTGCTGGGCCAGTACGTGGGCAACCCCGAGGGCCCCCCCGAGGCACAGAAGGGCTACCTGGATGACCCCACGGTGCCCCGTGGCTCCACCACACCCACCTTTGCCACCGCTGTGCTGCGCGTGGCCAATGAGCGCTGGGACGGTGAGAGGGGCTGACGATGGTGATGGCTGTGATGGTTGCCGTGGTGATGACATTTGTGGTTGTCATGGAGATGGTGGGATGATGGTGGTGGCCATGGAGATGGTGCTGATGATGGTGATGGCCACAATGGTGACACTGCTGACCAGAGAATGACAGATGGTGATGGTTGGAACGATGATGATGAGCAGTGGCGATGTCCATGGTGATGGTGGTGGTGACAATGCCAATGGTGTCCCAGGTGTGCTGTTGGGAACGTGCTGGGATGGGGATAGGGGGTGGTGCTGATGGGCGGTGGGGATTGTGGTGACATTGATGGATGATGGTGACAATGGTGATAATGCTGATGGACGTTGATGACTTTGACAGCGTTGGTGATGGACGTTGATGATATTGATAAACATTGATGATGTCTTTGATGATAATGACAGTTATGACAATGGCAATGATGACAGTGATGATATTGACAATGATGGTGATGCCACTGTCCCGAGGTGTCCTGTTCATGTGGCACTGCTGGGATGCTGCTGGATGGTGATGATGTTGACGACGTTGATGGATGTTGGTGTTGATGATGACAATGGTGACAGTGATGATATTGACAATGACAACGATGCCACTGTCCCCAGGTGTCCCGTTCGTGCTGCGCTGCTGGGATGGTGGTGGATGTTGATGATGTCAATGATGATGATGATGACAATGACAATGATGACAGTGACGATATTGACAATGACAACGATGCCACTGTCCCCAGGCATCCCGTTTGTGCTGTGGTGGTGGATGTTGATGATGTTGATGGTGAGGATGAGAATGGCAATGATGGCAATGGTGACAATGACGATATTGACAATGACCACGATGCCGCTGTCCCCAGGTGTCCCGTTTGTGCTGCGCTGCTGGGATGGTGGTGGATGTTGATGATGGATGTTGATGTCGATGATGATGATGACAATGGCAATGATGGCAATGGTGACAGTGACGATACTGACAATGACAACAATGCCACTGTCCCCAGGTGTCCCGTTCGTGCTGCGCTGCTGGGATGGTGGTGGATGTTGATGATGGATGTTGATGTCGATGATGATGATGACAATGGCAGTGACAATATTGACAATGACAATGATGCCACTGTCCCCAGGTGTCCTGTTCATGTGGCACTGCTGGGATGGTGGTGGATGTTGATGATGTTGATGATGTTGATGTCGATGATGATAATGACAATGACAGTGACAATATTGACAATGACAATGATGCCGCTGTCCCTGGGCGTCCCGTTCGTGCTGCGCTGCTGGGATGGTGGTGGATGTTGATGATGTTGATGATGTTGATGATGGATGTGGATGTCGATGATGATGATGATGACGATGGCAATGGTGACAGTGACGATATTGACAATGACCACAATGCCGCTGTCCCCAGGTGTCCCGTTCGTGCTGCGCTGCTGGGATGGTGGTGGATGTTGATGATGTTGATGATGTTGATGTCGATGATGATGACAATGGCAATGACGATATTGACAATGACCACAATGCCGCTGTCCCCAGGCGTCCCGTTCGTGCTGCGCTGCTGGGATGGTGGTGGATGT